TAAAAAGTATGAACTTCGATCTATACAAATTCCCTAGAAGGGTGTTCAGTCAGTAGAAAACCTGTAGAAGAATATCTTGTTTTTAAACCTTTAACCAGAACAACAACATGAGGACAAGAAGATATTTTTGTCTACATAAGATCTCTAGAAAAACTCTCGGTCTTCGGTCTATTTGAATCCTCTACAAGAGTATTCTGCCTCTAAACGAGTATAACCCGTATAGAAGCCATTAGTGGGATATACATTCATGCATTCTAGAAGTGTCATCGGTCAACAAAATGCCTCATGGTCCTTATGAAATACCAAAACATATTGTAAATGAACCTCTTGAATACAAGAAAAAATCCTTATAATGATGAGAAAGCCACTATATTTTCCAAAAAATGTAAACATTTCATTAATATCACAACTATTATCCTACTTCAAAGTCTTCTCTATTTTTTCCTCTATCTCTCTCTCTCTTTACAATAACAAATGTGTTCCTCCCAAGAAAAAAACACCACCACTACAACCATTCATTTTTTCGGCTGTATTTTGTTTTGGCATCGTTCTCCGCCTCTCCCATTAATCCGCCGTTTAAGGGAAGAGCGGAGAACAAGTCACTCGCTTGTGACTAGTTTTGCATTCCATTGTTTATTTATTTCAGACACTCTTAACGACCTCTGCATTGGTGTTACAAAATTCACATATGTATTTTCCAATTTTTTTCGATAGTTGATACGAACATTAAGCCAGAAGAGTCATTTGTTTGTAAAAGGTCTCTAATATGGTGTGTATAAAAGAAATACTCCTAGAAGAGTCCTTGGTCTATATACAAATCCTTGAAGGTTCTTATGTTTATAGAACGTAATATAAAGAGAGTATAACAGTAGATAATTTCTAGAAGAACCTTTTACATATTTCTTTACTATTTTAGGAGAGCCACCATTATATGGATCTCCTCCGAAGGTGATTTTTAGAAGCTTCTGACTTATATTGAGCACACATAGAGTATCTTCTGCCTACGCAAGACCTGAAGAAGGGTCTTCTGTATATACAATGAATCTAGAAGGGTATTTCTAGTGAGGATCGGTTAAATGTACGTATATGGAAGGGGTATTTTGACTATAGGTTATGTTTAATGGTTATATGTATAAAGGTCGTTAAAGAGGCACATTTAGAGTCTATGGAAGACCTATGATGGAGTCTTATGTAGAGCTCAATAAGAGTCTTCTGCCTGACAGACAAACAAAAAAAAACATAAAGAAGGGTCATCTATAGAAACACATTAGGAGAATATATGTAAAAGTAGGTCATCTACGTATGCACGACTTATAGCTGACTTTACATAGATCCCCACGCCTTCTTAGTAGAAAGGTAAATTTTAAACATTTTCAAAAAAGACGAAGATTTGTTGCTAACAAGTAAAATATTTAAAATTTCCCTCCTTACTGGTTCGAAGAAAAATATTCTTTGTTTTGTTTTGTTTTTTTTGGTTTTTAGACGAAAATTCTTTAAAAAAAAATCAAATCCACACTCCAATGCTCCTTCAAAAAATATTCGGTAAAAAACAATGCAAGTAATTGACCATTGAAAAAAATATTTTTAAAAAAATCCACGCTGCTGATAGTTCTCAAAAAATATACTATGGAAAATCCCCGCTTCTTTGAAAGTCCACACTTCGGATAGTCCATTAAAAAATATTCTTTAAAAAATCGCTTCGGAAGTCCTTTAACAAATATTTTTCGAATAATATTATTTAAGAAATCCACGCTACTGAAAATTTTCGGAAAATATTTTTTAGGAAATTCACAAATACATCCTTGGAAAAATTATTCATTAAAAAATCCACCCATCATATAATCTTTGAATAAATATTATTAAAATATCCACAATTGTTAGAGACCCTGCAAAAAATATTGTTTAAAGAATACACGCTCATTATAGTTTCTGAACAAATATTCTTTGAAAAAATCCAAGATCCTGAAAGTTATAAATAATATTCTTTTAAAAATCCTCGTTAATAGAAGTCCTCTAAAAATATTCATTAAAAAATCTAGGGGGTTCTTAAAAAACTACTATTAAAAAATACAAGGTCTGTTGTCCTACAGAAAATTTCTGGAAGGCTATGCAACCTCTAGAATATTTATCTATTTATAGATTATCTTTAAAGGGGTCTTCAATACATATTCGTAGATATTTCTAGAGCTACCAGTGAAAGGTCTTCTCTCTAAAAAAAAAATCACAACAAATGTATCTTGATAAATAGAAGATCCTCAGAACGACGTTATTTCTTCTAAAGGAGCCCTTGAATATACTAATTTTTAGAGATCTCTAAATGGTTTGTCAATCTTAAGAGGGGTGTAATGCACATAGAAGGTATCAAAAAGTATCATCTGTCTATAAAAATATATCTATAACAATTTTCTGCCTATAGAAGATTCATGTACCTGTCAAAGACCTCTAAAAGGTATTCTATCAATTAAAGACCTCTGGTAAAGACTTCTATTCTTAATGACGAATCGAAATGAATCCGCTGTTTATAGCGGAAGAGTTCTATTTTTAATGACGGAACGAAATGAATCCGCTGTTTATAGCACTCATTCAGGGGTATTCTGTGTACACCTTTTAAACTCCAATAACTATTTTCCAATTACTTAATAAAAACCAGTGAGCGGAGCAGTATAATCGTACGGGGCCGACCATACGATACCCTACACAACTTCAATAAAAAATTAACATTCTGTGGTTCTATATTCCAAGATTGGGCAATATTTTGCGCTATTTGCACACTTTTGACTGGTTAGAGGTCAGCAAATGTTACTAATAATCAGTACAGCACCTCTAATTAATAATCCAGATTTCCTTCACCGTGGGTTGGGTTGTGTTGTTTGGCTTTCGAATCGAAAAGTACAAATAGTTAAGTTTTCGGTTCACGTCATCCGAAAAATTATTATCTGATCATCACCTAACATTTTAGGCGTTGTCCTTGACCATAACTGGAACCTCATGGAACATTTCAAAGCGATCAGGCTATATATCCACCTTAAAGTGTGGTATTAGGTTACTAAATATATATGAATACGTAGGCACCTGTAAATATTTAAGTGTAACTCCCTCATCGAGTACATACGACAATATGATTGGTATCAATTTAAAGGCCAACCACTCCTCTTGGATATGCTATCAACTCCTGGGGTCTACATCCTCCAGGAGTAAATATATATGCCATAGAATACAAATTTCGTCATTTTTCACACAAAAGTCAGGGTCCATTTGACCCGCTAAATATTGACCAATCTTTATCAAAACATGCATGCTTATTCTCTGGCCCGATCCCCTTCTCCATGCAAAAATTCGCGGTGTTTGGGCCATAATTGCGGCCTCTGGAGCGACCAGAAAAACCGACAAAAATTTAGTATTTGGTCCATTTCATCCCCTTAATATTAACCGATCTTTTCCAAAAACAATAGGGGTCTTCATTAGCCAGAACCCATCCTACATGCAAAATTTCGTGAAGATTGGTCCATAACTGTGGCCTGTATCGTGTTTACAAATTATAATGGACGGACGGACGGACACACATGTCTAGATCGACTCAGCTAGTCGAGATATGACGATCGGTATACATAAAGGTGGGTCTAGGAGCAATATTTCGCGTTACAAACTTTTGGGGCTGCACAAAGCTATAATACCCTGACAACATAGTTGTGTAGGGTATAATTAACAACAAATTTTTAATAAAGAAAACTATTTCCCAAAGTTCTTAAAATTTTCCAAATAAACGCATTTCTACACACTCACACAGAAATATCTAACAATGTTAAACTTGTAATTTTGTGGTTGATTAAAACAGTCACTCACCTTTGGCCCCCGCTCCTCCGACTCTTCAGGCGACACAAAAAAACTTCTTTGATTTACAATGTTCAAAGTTTTTAAGCAGCAACTAAAAATTGCTTTCCTTATTTTGAGAGGGAGTGGAATAGGGAGGTTAATAGGGACTTGGGAATAGTCATGCAATTTTGTTATAATTTGTAACTGTTAAAATTAAGTAAAAAGAACCCCAAAAACTGAAGATAACTACGAGACGAAGTAGAACATTGGTTCCAAATGCCAGCATTTTTTTCCGGGTAATAAGGAGAAGGTGAATTATTTCGAAACTTGTTGCTAGGGGAGAGTAGATGGGGTTTCCCGAGAATAAACTGAATTATTTCGAAACTGCTTTTAGTTTGTAGACCAAGGTTGGGGTACTAAGGATGTTATGTGCTTACCTTATAGCTGCATATTTTCCAAATATTCTGACCAAAAACTGTCACTCAATTTTGCTGTTGGTTGCTGCCAAGCTCCATGAAACACCAAGAGGAAAAAAAGCACACCAAAATGTTTTCAACTTGTATTCGCTGCGGAACACTAAAATGACAAGAAATAAAACCACAACACATAAAATACAATAACAACAGAAAGTAGTTTAACGGAAAAATAACAACAAAGTTTAATGCACACAAAAAAACAACATAAAACAGTTTTAGAAGTTTCAAACGAAATAAAAAAACTGGAAGCTGGTGGAGAATAAAATAATAGTGGAACTTGGTTAATGAGTTACAAATCCAAAGGATGGAAATCGGCGGGAGTATGGCCACAAGACAAAAAGGGTGGGTGGGTGTGTGTGAACACACCCTAATCTAGTAGCTGGTTTTGCTCATTTCAAAAATTATTAAGCTCCGCTGTCATCCATACCTCCCTACCACACAAACCCTTTGCCTTACATTAGCAAATATTTGGTCTTTGTTGTTATTGTTGTTACTTTTAATTTTGTTTCGTTTTTTTTTTAATTTTTATTATTTCATGATATTTATCTTTGTCTCATTTTTGCATTTTATCTTTGCAGTACCCATGAACAGTGGTTTTATGAGGATACACAACAGTCCTCTGGTGGGAGTTGGTGGCCTACAATTCTGGCATCAAAGAGTAACCAGAGATGTGACAGCCGCAGCCGCCATACAATCAGCAGGTCTGCAACAACAGCAAAAGGATATTAGCAAGGATATGTTGATGCAGGGCTCATCAACGGAAATAACCATGGATCAGCCACAAGGTATGTTTAACCATTTAATATTTTTAAAAAATCCACGCCTATTGGTACTTACTTAGCAGGCTTGTGGCAGAACTTTCGTTCCATAAGCCGAGCTTAAAAAAGATTTCCAGGCGCGTCGGTCTTTTGCGCAGTTTTTCCAATTTGAAATACCATTTTCGGCAATGTTGTCTTCCACTTGGTCTTTCCATCTTATTCGTGGCCTTCCCCTTCTGCGTGAACCATCAGCTGGTTCGCTTTTATATGCCTTCTGGGCTGGGGCATCTTCATCCATTCTCACAACATGACCTAGCCAACGTTGTCGCTGCAGCTCAATACGTCTAACAATGTCGATGTCCGATAATAGTTAGTACAACTCATGGTTCAACGCAGATCGGCCCATAGACCTTTCGGAGAATTTTTCTCTCAAACACTCCAAGAGCTGACTCATCTTTTTTCGCAAGTACCCATGCTTCAGATCCATATAACAGCACGGGTAGTATCAGCGTCGTAAAGAGTGTAAGTTTGGTCTGGCGGGAGGTGGCCTTGCATTTGAGTTGTTTGCTCAGACCATAGTAGCATCTGTTGGCCATCACTATCCTTCTCCGAATTTCAAAACTGATGTCATTCGTTTCGACCCATTATGTCGATGTCATCGGCGTTGGCGATTAACATGTGTTGTTTGGTGTACTGAGTGCCATTTCTGTTCACTTTTGCCTCTCGTATGACCTTTTCCAGCAGGATGTTAAAAAGGTCACGCAATAAACTATCCCCTTGTCTGAATCCTCGTCCGGTACTAAAGGGCTCCGAGAGATCATTTTCGACTTTAACTGCTGATCTTGTGCCAGTTAAAGTTATCCTGCATAGCCGTATTAATTTTGCAGGAATGCCAAACGCAGACATGGCCTTATACACCTCTGAACGGATAGGGCTGTCGAATGCGGCTTTATAGTCGACGAATAGGTGGCATGTGCCTATGTGTTTTTCGTGGGTTTTTTTCCAGGATTTGGCGCAGAGTGAAAATCTGGTCAATTGTGGATTTGCCTGGTCTGAAGCCGCATTGGTATGGTCCAATAATGTCATTGGCCATTGGCTTCAATCGTTCACACAGCACAATGGATAGCATTTTATATGCGATGGAAAGGAGACTTATTCCTCTATAGTTGGCAAATATCGTCTTGCCTCCTTTTTGGTGCACGGGACACATGATGCTGAGGTTCCAATCATTGGGCATGCATTCTTCTCACCCTCACTTTTTTCTTGTTCTTTTTTCTGAAAATACGTTTCTCCTCTCTCCTTTTCTCCCGATAGTTCTCCATCGCATTAGGTGTTGCTACTGTCCTCAGGGTTGCCCTATACGCCGCGTTTTTCATATCAGTAGCATTACGACACTCCTGATCGTACCACGGGTTTCTTGATGGTGGTCTTTGGTACCCAAGTGTTGCTTTTGCTGCAGGGCAATTCTCCACTGTGCTTCTATATTTTTATCGGGACAAAGGGTGATTCGTCAAGCAGTTGGGTAAGTTGAGCGGATAAGGCTTCTGCTATATGTTGTGTTTGCAGCTTTTCGACGTCAAATTTCCGTGTTACATTAGATCGCATCTTTGCTGCTACATTAAGACGGGTGCGTACCTTGGGTGCCACAAGGTAATAGTCCGAATCGATATTCGTTCCTCGGATCTATCGGAAGTCTAAAATACTGGATGAATGCCTTCCGTCTACAACAACATGATCGATTTGATTTTTGGTTGTTCGATCGGGAGAAATCCAAGTAGCCTTGCGAAGTCAATCAGCTCATGTCGTTTCCTGATGTTTTTTCATGGAGGCTGAATTTTCCGACGGTGGGGCCAAATATATTTTCCCCTCCGATTTTTGCATTAAAATCTCTTAGCAGAATTTTAATGTCATGGCCAAGGCAGCGGTCATATGCAGTTTCTAGGCGATCGTAAAAAATGTCTTTGGTCTGTTCATCTTTGTCTTCGGTCGGAGCATGGGCGCAACTGAGACTGATGTAGACGAACTTCGCTTTTATGCGGATTATAGCAATTCGCTCATCTACTGGAGTGAATCTGGAGACGCGGTATTTTATTCTCCAGCCTGGACTTCGCCATGTTAAAGCCAAACAGAGCCGCTGCTTGGTACCTATCATCCCCTACCCCTATTGGTGCTTCATAAAAAAATATTTGTATATCCTCTAGACTCAACCATTGCCACACATGGTCTAGTCATCCCTCTCCTCCATAAATCTTATTTTTTCCACCATCTACCTTTTGAATATTTCATATAGTTAGTGGTTACTAATTCCTAGATAATAACAACCAATACATACATAGATATACATATGTATGTGACGACCCACAACCATATCCTTTTGTGGTCGAGACAACAAAAAATGCCAAAGCAAAAAAAAAACAATGGCTAAAGAAAATTATTGTTGTTATTCCTCTGTTATCTTTTTAAGAGTAAATTTTACAAGGACATGGAATGTGAAAAAATATTCATATGATTCGTTTTTTTTTCTATTATTATTTTTTTTTTCTTTTCATTACTAACACAATGTGTCCTGCAACTGATGATGTTACTTTTAATATGGTCTCCTCCTCCTCGCACTCCCTTATACCGCCTGGCTGCCACATGAACGCGGTGTGTTGGTTGATGATGCTCTGCCTGCTATTTTGCCTGCCTTTTGTTGGATAGGCCAATGTCTATTGGATGGCGAATATGTGCCAGAGACAACGGTCTTCTGTGAGAAACAAGTCGGTTGTCGTGCCATACAAAAAACAGGACACTGTTGTCCTGATTATCAATGTGGTAAGTTTACTTGGGTGTTTTACTTTATAAATAATAGAAATATACACACAAAGCTAAGGCATATATGGATAGAAGACCCTTCTAATTACCTTGTATAAGTAGAATCAGGGACCGAAAATAACCGTTATTTTTGAAAATGCGAACAAAAAACTCTTCATGTTAGAGACATTGGACACCTATAGTATTATGTAACAATAGATTCGTATTGACGAGCCTATTACGGATATTTGGTGATCTTGAGAAAACACTCTCAGTTCCCATGTGGAGACTTATTATTCAACGGAAAAAATAGACGTTGATTTTTAACAGTTAAAAATTATTGTTATTTTTTCCTTTAAAAATAAAACTCTTTTTGGGAGCTATATTCTTCAAAATTTTTTGAGATTTTCACTTGAAAATTTATAGGGACGTTCTTGAATTAGTGTAGGTTCGAATTAAATCAAAATATAAAATTAAAATTTTTGACGCCGAGAATGGGTGGGGTCCCCTTAATTCAACGAGTTTTCCTGAGGTACAAGAATCTTTATATCCCCTCTACTGTAGGTCTAGGGGGTGCTCTAAACAGAAGACCTTTCAAATACCCCTTCAACAGGTCTTGTATGAGTTGAAGACCACTCTAAGGAACAGAAGTTCATTTGAGGATTTTCCATGGACAGAAGACCTTCTAAGGCGTCTTCTTTAAAAAGGAAACAATTTAAAGAGTTTTCCAGTTTCATAGGAATGTTCTAGAAGTGTTTGATAGATGCCCTCTTCTGTAGTCATAAAGGTTTTCTATAAACGTAGTACCTTTCACATTGTCTTCTATAGTTCATGACAATTTTGTTGATCCCAAAACCGAAGACCATATCCCTCTAAGCCCTACTAAGGGTTTTCTAAAGACAAAATATTCTTCCAAAAGTCTTCCATGGGCAGATGATTAATCGATAGGTCTTATATGAGCTTGATACTACAGAACAGAAGTCTCTATTGAACATTTTATTGGTACATTAATCGTAAATCTGGCTCCTCTGGGGGTCCTATATGAGTTGGAGACCACTCTAATTTAGAAAAGAACCTATTACTTTTATATGAAGAGAAGTCCCCCAAAAAATTATTATCTATAAATTGGACAAGTTTAACAGGGAAGGAGGTCATCTATCAGCTCTTGAAGTTCAGATAGTCTTTCAATAATAATATTTAATAAAAAGTATAGTATTATAAAGTCTCCTTTAGAAAGACCACGCTTATAGATCTCTTAAAAAACCTCGGTTACAGCTCTGATAGTGTTTCAGAAAATCTTATTACAAATTATCACTTATTGATCTCTAGTCCCTCAGAAAATGTTATTTAAAGTCTACGTTTCAGCTATGACAATCCTTAACAACATCTCCTTTAAAAATCCAACCTGATACCTCTGATAGTCCTTCAGAGAACACCCTTATAAAAAGTCACGTTTGGAGCTCAAATAATCCTTCAAAAATCCACGATTTTAGCTCAGATAGAACTGCATAAAATTTAATTAAAAAACAGGCTTGTAGCTCCGTCTGATAATCTCATTTAAACATCCACGCATAAAACTCAAGTAGACCTTCAGAAAATCTCTATCAAAAACTTCACGATTATAGCTCTGATCCAACAATCTACGTCAAAAACTACGATTATAGCTCTAATAATTCTTCAGAAAATTGTTGATAGTCCTTCAGAAAAACTCCTTCAAAAGAGTTACGATTACAGCTCTGATAATGTTTAAAAAGTCTAATTTAGAAAATTTCCTTTAAAAATCCGCGATAATAGCTCTGAAAATCCCTCAGAAAATCTTCTTAAAATCTACACTTGGAACTCTGTGCTTCAAGAAATCTCTCCACGCTTGGAGATCTCATTGTGCTTCAAGGAATTTCTCCACGCTTGGAGATCTCATTGTGCTTCAAGAAATTTCTCCACGCTTGGAGATCAGGTAGCCCTTGAAAAATCTTCTTTTAATATAAGCTTGGAGCTCAGATAGTCTTTCATAAAAAACCCCTCTTCCAAGCCTCTTTCAAAAAATCCCCTTACAAAATCCACGCTTAGAGCTCAAATAGTTCTTAACAACTCTACTTTACAAAATCCACGCTTAGAGCTCAAATAGTTCTTAACAACTCTACTTTACAAAATCCACGCTTAGAGCTCAAATAGTCCTTAACAACTCTACTTTACAAAATCCAAGCTTAGAGCTCAAATAGTCCTTAACAACTCTACTTTACAAAATCCACGCTTAGAGCTCAAATAGTCCTTAAAAACTCTACAAAATCCACGATTAGAGCTCAAATAGTCCTTAAAAACTCTACAAAATCCACGCTTAGAGCTCAAATAGTCCTTAAAAACTCTACTTTACAAAATCCACAATTAGAGCTCAAATAGTCCTTAACAACTCTACTTTACAAAATCCACGCTTGGAGCCCAGACGATCATTCAAAAATCTAATTTAAAAAATCTAAACTTGGAACTCAAAAAGTCCTTAGAGTCCTTCAAAAATCTTCTTTAAAAAATCTACGCTTGAACCTTTAAATAGTCCAGATAGTCCTTCAAAAAATCTGCTTAACCAAATCTAAGCTGGGAGCTCAGATAGTCCTTAAAAAATATGTTTTAAAAAATCCATGCTTAAAGTCCTAAAAAATCTCATTCAAAAAATCCATACTTGGAGCTCAGATAGTCCTTAAAAATTATAATTTAAAAAATCCACACTTGGAGCTCAGAGAGTCCATAAAAATTGTCATATAAAAAATCCAGGACTAATTCTAGGCCATAAAAAATATTCTTTAAAAAATCCAGGCCTCTGATAGCCCCTGAAAAAAAAATTCTTTAATAAATCCACGCCTTGTGTTGATCACTAAAAAAAAATTCTTTAATAAATCCACGCCTTGTGTTGATCACTGAAAAAAAAATTCTTTAATAAATCCGCGCCTCTAATACACACCTGAAAAAATATTCTTTAAAAATCCACGCCTGTTTGTGGCCCTTGAAAAAATATTCCAAAAATCCACGCCTATGTTAGCCCTTGAAAAAATAGATTTTATAATTTTTGGTTGCCACAGTAGCAAACCCATATCCCATCCTACAAGAAAACAGTGGAAATTCATCTTGTAAAGGTGTAGCTGTGTTATAATAACATACTACACCCCCATCCCGTACCTATCTCCAAGTGTAACCCTGAATCATCCTCTACTAGTAGTTTTGTGTGTGTTATTTTTGTTATTGTCGATTTGTTTTTATTTTTTTTTTAGTTTGTATGCAAAATGTTTTAAGAGTATTTTATAAAATATGCTAACCATTTGTTCTTCCTCTCTCTCTCATTTCCATGATGATGCTGTTGCTGATGTTGGGCGCCAACTTTAAACAAACACCTTCATAAATGTTGCTGTTATTGTTGCTTTTACTACCACTTTCGGCCACGAACAATAACACTTTCTTCTGTCGGACGCCTCCATAGATTGCCAAAAGGATGGTAAAACTTATTTAAATGGTGATAAGTTAGTAGATCCGGAGACACCCTGCACTGTTTGCTACTGTCAAGGTAAAGTGTGAAAGTTTTACGACCCAGAAAAATAGAGGAGAATAACAAGAACAACAACAACGGAGGTGGCCATAGAAAATTGCATATGGCCAAGCAAATTTACTTTTATTGCTAATGTTTGTTGTAGATGTCGTTGTTGTTGTTGCTGACATCCTCCTTCACCGCCATATCTATTTATTCTAGAATTAATGCAATTTGTTGTGTGTGCGTTGAAAAATATTCTGGTCTAAAGTTTTTTTTTTTTAATTTTCTTCCTCTTCTGCTTGTAGGTGGTGAAATTTTATGCAGTTCTGTCACTTGCTTCCATCGTGACGATTGTACACCGAAATATATACCAGGTGTCTGTTGTCCAGAATATGATAATTGTCCCGGTAAGTTAAAACAATTTTATTTATGTACATATAATTCGATAGAAAAAAGAGTAAATTTTCTGTGCGGTTTTTCAAGTTTACCGGAAAGTTTCCTGTGTTTTAGATAGTGGTCAAGGCCACTGAGATAAGTTCGGCACATTATTATAAAAAACAATAATAACAAAAGCAATAAATTAAATGCAAATAAAGGCTCCACGCCTATGTTGGCTACTTGAAAAAATATTCTTTAAAAAATCCACACCTATGTTGGCTACTTGAAAAAATATTCCTCAAAAAATCCACGCATCTACTGCGGCCTTGAAAAAATGTTCTTCAAAAAATCCGCGCCTATGTTGGCTACTTGAAAAAATATAATCCACCCCTCTATTGAGGCCTTAAAAAAATATTCTTCAACCAATCCGCGCCTATGTTGGCTACTTGATAAAATATTCCTCAAAAATCCACACCTCTATTGAGGCCTTGAAAAAAATATTTTTAAAAAATCCACCCCTCTATTGAGGCCTTGAAAAAATATTTTTAAAAAATCCACCCCTATGTTGGCTACTTGAAAAAATATTTTTAAAAAAATCCACGCCTCTATTGAGGCCTTGAAAAAATATTTTTAAACATCTACCCCTATTTTAAGGTCTTGAAAAAATATTTTTAAAAAAATTCCCGATTTAATCAATTATCTACCCCTTATCTTTTTTCCGATACAGTTGCCTCATCGCTCAACAAAACCATGACCACCACAACAACATCAACAACTGCCAAGCCGGAGCTACCCATGGCTGTTGATGATAAGCCGAAAATAACCATTAAAGAGATCACGAAACCCACAGAGATACGTATAACCGATGATAACAAAGTTATACCGGTGCCGCAAATGTTGAAACCCACAACAACAACGACGACAACAACTACCACCACCACCTCGACATCCACAACTACAACGACCACAACAATGCCCCCACCAACGGCTCCATCAGTCAGCGTCATTTCAACAACAGTCATGCCTTCGGTAGGCCACGAAAGTACACCAATTGAGCACGATGCCATAAAAGAAAAGCTTAGCGAAGACATTGAACCCCAAGCTACTAGTGTGGACACCAACCAATTGTCAAATGGCAATGCCGGTGGTTTGGGACCGAAACAGAGCATGACTAGCGGAGACACCCTGAAATTAACCGCATCGGTGGCATATCCAACACAAGCTGTACCCACCACAATGCTGGCTAATGGCTTGAGTCCCACAGTGGTACCAATTGCCCCGGAGAATAGTGGCGAAGTTGAAGACCCTGTACCGGCTTTATCGATTTTCAGTACCCAAGGATTGCCTGAGGATCCCAGCAAGGTGAATATTAAGAGGGAATATTTTGTGACAACCGAAGGTATTGCTCCAGCCGGCCAGGTATATGAAGGTGTGGCGGGTAGTGGTGAATATTCAAATTCGGAATTGATTTATGGCAGCAGTCAAGCGAATCCCACATCAGCTCAGCAATCTTTGGGGGCCTTGCATCAATCCTCGGCGGAATTGGATTCGGATACGGCTGGGAGTGATAATATTTATCACATTATTTTGACCACAGATGGTCCACGCTTAACCACAACCTCGGAGAACTATTTGGCCTTGAAGGGTTCCGCCAGTACTGAGGGTGAGTTTTGAGAGAAGTCCAATTTTTGGAATCCTTTTTATTAAAATCTGATTTTATCTCCCTTTCAGGTTCTCCCTTCGAGGATTTAGCCCCAGTTGCCGTTGATTCCGCGCCCGTGGAGGCTAAACCCCAATCACAACCCACCACCGAAGGACCAGAGTTGGACAAACATGAACATCTACATCAACATTTGGATGAAGAAGAACCCGAGATTCCCTTGGAAATAAATCCCGCATATCCCTCGTTGCCGGCCGATGATTTCAGCATACGTGGTGACAACAACTATCAATTATCCGATAATGATGAGATTGGCGAAGAACCCCGCAGCATAGGTGGTGGACACATTGGTCATGGTCATCACTTAATGCTGCACCACGAAGTCCATGAAATTGCCAAGAATAGCAAACATCTGGATGATGCCAGTTTTGGTGGTAGTGGCAGTGGAAGCGGTAGTGGGATGGACATGATTATGGAGGATATGGCAATGTCTGCACCATCCTCCACAGAGGGTAGTGGTTGCATAGATAATAATCCCAAATCTTTGGAAGTTCTTGAAATGGAAAAATCCAAGAAATCACCCGAGTTAATACAACTTATGTATTCCGGTGAAGATTCTTCCGAGGAGACCCGCATTACCAATAGCACAGATTTCCAGGAAGATGCCGCCAAGAAGCCCTCTGAAGATTCTTCAATGGAATCGGCGGAAATTTTAAAATCCCTTGATGCCTCTGGGGAATTTGGTTCTGGTTCAGGTGCGGGAGAAATTAAAAGTGAATTGAAAAAGGAACGGGAGCCAACCACACCCAAGCCATATAAAGGAGCTGCCTCCATGGATATTGATGAGTTAACTGATTCGTCGGGTAATGGTCCGCAAGATGATCCCAAAGAAGATGCTGAAAGTTTGAAAATCGATGATACTTCCGACGAAGCAACGGGTAGCATTGATAAATCACCCAAGGGTAATATTTTGTCGGTGAAGGTACAACAGGACAAGGCTTTCCATGAGGAATTAGTTTGAGAGCGAGATACAGAGAGAAAACAAATGAGAAAGGGAAGAGTCAAGAAGTAAGAGCATGTAAATACTGAGAGATTTTTTTAAATTATTATTTTGACAAACGAAAACCGAGAACAAGAAAATTATGTGTAAAACAACAAATTAATTTTTAAAAATAATTATTAATTCATATATTTTATTTAATTCATTTTTTTAATTATCATTTCATCTAGAGACTGCATTTTTTTTATTAAAAACAATCGTCTTAGTTCCATTTTCATTAAAGAAGTAGCACGATATGGATCGAACGTAATCAGAATTACCGTAAAGCTCCTAAATAATTTTTAATTAAAAAACGTTAGTATCAGTTAAATGAAATGAACCATTTTAGTATAAGAGAAATGTGCTCTTCTCCAAGAGTGAAATAGTAACAAAAGAGAGAGAGAGAGTGTAACGCATCATCGTTACAATATGAAAAATGTTAGAGTGAGAGAGCATCATTTAAGTGTTTTTGTAATAGGAACAATAAAATAGCTGGGCTCCCAATATGCAATAAAATAAATAGTTTATGTCATTAAATTCTAAAAACAAGGGCTTGAAGGACAGTAAGGAGATTTTTGAGGGACATCAAAGCTTTGAGACTATAAAATATAGAGAGAGACTAAAAAACGGTTATTAATAAAAGAAAATATGCCTTCAGCACCTATTGAAGCAGAAAGTCGCATACATCCCACCATAAAAAATCCGATTGAGTATTTGTAAGACACAAATTTTATTAAAACATACTGCAGCTGATGAGTCGACTTCTATACTCATCAAAAAGTGCTGCAATAAAAACTAGAAAACAGAAGAGCACTGTGCTGAGTATTCCGTGGTTCGAAGGGAATTCATTTTATTTATAATATTTTCTTAACTCTAAACCTCAATACCAACATAAAACTATACGTGAATTTCATTCATCGAATGTTTAAGTAGATTTGGCTTAGGAAAAATTTTGATCCGTATTTTTGATCATCCCAAATAAATATTATAAATGCATATGACATATGGCCGGTCGTCAATCCCATTCCTAAAGCGGTTCAATATTTTCCCGTTCACTCCGAAAAAGGAACTAGGTCACTCGTTCACTTCCATAGTTCGTTTAGTTGAAAAAAATGATGGTTCAAAAAGAACTAGGTGAATGCGAATAAAATTAACAAACGGGCCGGTAGTTCCTTTTGTACAATAGTTGCTTTCAACTAATTCATTCCCGAACGATCTAACCCTAAGCAAAACACCTCAAGGAGAAATGTTTCTATTATAGAATATGATGAACTTTGGGAATTTTCATCTATTCTAGAAGAATATATATCGGAAGTATGTAACAAATGATGGTTCCCAAACAAACTTTATCCTCCGTACTTTCAGGACAATTTTTGAATACAAAAAGTACGAAACCAACACCAATTCCGAAATAAATGTAATATTATTATAATTTTGCCCTTAGTTTTTTCTAACATCTCGTTTCTGTCCAACAATATCTTCGTTCGGAGGAAGGTCAGGCTTATTCTTCTGTATGTCAGTTTGCCATTCGCTCTTACTTTTCCGAGTCATCCTAGCCAGTTTCCGCTTTTGTGCCCCATATAACTCTTGCTTACTTATCGTGAGCTTAGATATACCCTATCTCACTTCCTTTTACCATCTTTTAAGCCTCTTCGTTCCTCCGTCATTCTAAGACGATTACGTTGATCTTGTTTTCGTGCTAACTTTCGAAATTTAACTTCAAGTCCCGCCTGTCGTGGAAGGTTGGTTCGATATTGCTCGTCCCCGGTGATTCTTGAACTCTGATAGATTTTTTAAATTTTCGTGAATTTAACGACTCCCATCCATTCCCCCATCGACTTAAAAAATCAATTCAAATAGTGAAAGTCATTTGAATCATTGGAAACATTAAAAGTAGATTTACGTCTATTTGATCAGCACTAAACTAATATTTAAGCTTCGAACAGGATGGAGTCCTTTAGCCTGAAGCATTCGGTTGAAATATTTGTACAGTGTGAAAGGACTTCCAAAAGATCTGCTAAAATCTTCTAAGAAATACGAAACCGTAATATGTACGAATTGTTTTCCAAAGCAGATTTTGATACATATCGAATTTAATATCCGAACAGAGTCTATTCCTTTATATGTCAGAAATGCCCAGAAAAATATATGTCAGAAAGAGAAGACTCCCAAATTTGTCAATATCTTCTGAAAATGCTACATTTTCTAAACCAATCATTCACAATGCAAATCCTGTAAAGTCTTCAGGAGCATAAAATCAAACCGTCGCATTCCTATCAGGATATCAGCTAATTTTATAGAATTTCAAAAATTATTTTAATTATATTATCCTCAAAAGTTTTGTATATCTTGATTTAGGTCAATAATACCCAGAACTGTAATCTTCTGTCAGAAGTCCGAAAGAGAAGATTTGCGGAAAATTTTACATTTTCTAAACCAAGCATTCACAATACGAAACATATAAAGGCGTCTATGGATAGAAATCAGTCCATCACAATTCAAAAAAGATATCAGTCCTGTTGGAGGTGTTAGTAATGTGCCGGATTGGATTTGAGGTTTCTGACTCTGCATAATTTTCTGTTATTCCAATACGTCCAAAAATAGTAAATTCTAAAAACGAAAAATATTTTCTAAACCAACTGTTGGCAATGCAAATTATTCGAAGACTCCTTTGAGATAAAAATCAGGTTATTTCAAATTATTATTTTCCAAAATGACCCCTTATTTTTCTAAACCAAGTGTTACTAATGCAAATCATAGGAAAAAAGGTAATCATATTTCAGTTTGATTGGATTTGAGGCTTCCCGCTATGCCCCTGTTTAAAGTAAAATAAAAAAATTGGACAACTTACCACTTTTTATTTCAATAAGTCCGAAAATGGTAGCTGAATATCGATTAATTGTCTCAGCAAAAATTCAGTTGAATACAGTAGACACCAAGAACAGAAGGCATATTTTCTGAAAATAAAATAAAAAATTATTATAACAGGAACTTAAAAGTACTAAACGATTACATTTCAACTGTGGCCTCTTTAAAAGCTATTTAGCGGTCTCAAAGCTCTCCACGAAAAATAAAATGTCCACTCTCTCCTCCCCAAGGCTTTTAATTTCATATTTATCCACTAATATTGTATTCTTTTCAATCCCAAAAAATCATTTTTCCTTTTTTAACAATTTAGTCTCAAAACATATAAATCATTTCATTTGCAATTGTTTAATTTTACAATAATAATAACTATTATTTAGTAAATATATTTAAAATCTATTTATATAATTAATTTTTTTTATTATTTAAAAAAAGTATCGCCTCATTATTAAATGTAGTTTTTCTTTTTAATTTAATTTTATTTAATATATATTTTTATTTTTATTATTTCTTTATATATAGAAGAGAGACTGAATGTAATAAGTTTCTTGAGCTTTTTATTCGAAAAACAAAACTAAAGTCATAATTTTTTTGTTTTAATTATTTTTTAAACAATAATTTATTACTTCTTTAATTTATATTTAAAATTATTGTCATAATTCCATAAAAAATTACTATATTATATATTAATTAATAATTAAAGGAAAAATTAATTATTTTTTGTCATTTGCCACGCCCATACGCACATAAACTAATTTAATTTAATTCAAGTCTTTCCATTCTCGACACGAGAAGTAAATTATCGTTTCATTTACATACATTTTTTAATAAACAACCACAAAAACAAACGAATCATTTTTAGTTTTAAAATAATTTTTTTCTTTAAGTTTTATGCTTTTAAGATTTAATAAAAATAATTAGTTTTTAATTAAATATTATTAAATTAATGCAAAAAAATCAATATATATGAATGAATTTGTAAGTTAATGAAGCGCAAGGACGATGATGATGATTTTTAGAGAATAAATAAAGAAAAATTGCAAAAACGACAAAAATTGGGAAATGTGTTTTTACTTGAAGGAAGGACAGGGGTTACAGATAGCTTGGATACAAATCTGAAATACACAATGAAATCTGGAAACACAATTGAAGGAAACTAGAGTACATCCTGAACTATAGAAAAATATTGTTGAGAAAGAAGCTGAAAGGTCCACTTGTGTGAAAGTAGACTTGACGAGAATGCAGAACTGCCAGCGAAGGAATCTTACGTCAGTGCTGGAAGATTAAGTGGCCGATTACGGGTTTTAACCATAGTTTAGTGGCGTTGTCAGTTGCCAAATTTGAATTATGAATGGCAACTGTTGTCAACTTCAGTTGCTTCAACTAGAATTTTTCGGCAATCATTTATTTCTGGTTGCTGTTTAGTCGTGTTTAGCAATAAAAACTGAAATTTGGTTGGAATAATGGTTACAATTACTACGTAATGGTGAACATCTTCTTTAGGGACCATGATATGTACGTTTATGCCATCTATACATCCGACAACACCCGGGAACTTTGTTTTGGAATAAAAAAATATTCTTCCACTTTTCCTACTCTGTTAATTTGGAAACAATCCAAATTTTACACAGTTTTTCCTCTATTGGCCGGACAACTTCGGTCAAAGCCATCGACATTGTGAATTGAGCCATGCCACTTTTAAGAGAGCAGGAATTGCTGTTGATCGTCGGGCTTTTCGGAAACCATGGTTTAATGCTTCAACTAAGTACACAACGGCATCTTTTGGTAGCCGAAAATACGCCTTAAAGCTAAAATGATCAATTGATTGAACATTTCTCTAAACATAAACATCTGCTCACAGCACGGATGGTATTTCTACGAATATTTCGGTCTGGAAAAAGTAGCTGGCGGCAACAGATCAGACAAATGTATAAACAGAAACTGATGATTACCGATGCTCCAGCCTGGAAGAAGAAGCCGGAATATTTGGTTAGAAGAGTGATAATTTAGTTAAACAGAGATCGACTCTTGGACAATTTCATCCCTGAAGCGGTTTTATCTCGTTCGGTTCGCCCCACAAAAGAAACAAATTCATTCATTTAATTCTATTGGTCCCT